TTCGATCCGTGAGCCACCCGTGCAAATAAATGTTCGTGGGCGTCCCACTTCAAAAAACAAATCTCTCATAAGAACTCTATCTCTCAGAAAAACTAAAGTCGAGCCAAATAATATTCAATTTCAAGAACAAGCTCGGAATAGTTGTTCAGCTGCACCAACTTCAGGTGATAGACACTTTTACCATCCATATATGCTTCAACTTCCGGTTATATTCCATCCTTTCATCATGCAAGTGCAAGATGTGAAATCTGACGGAAACTGTGGATTTCGAGCCGTAGCTCTCTGTCTCGGTTTTAAGGAGGACGAATGGTTCAAAATTTGATCCAATTTAATCGAAGAACTAGAGTCTCACACAATGGAATATACCGATATGTTTGGAACTCAAGGATGGTATAATGTCTATAACATGTTGAATTTTTTTGCACAAGATCGGTGTGCACCAGTTGAGCACTGGATGACTATGCCGGAGATGGGTGTACTAATTGCTTCCCGATACAATGTGATACTACATGTTTTGAGTATGACCGGCAGTACAACATATTTACCACTTCGATCTAGCCCACCACCTTGGTACGAGCATGTAGCAATAACCCTTGGTTATGTTAATAATAACCATTATGTCAAGGTAACATTGACAGGAGGGTACCCAATGCCTACAATTGCTCCACAATGGGCTTATTTTAGATACGATTGTGCAAATGCATGGATGACTCCATATATGAATAGGATTGAAAGTTACAATGAGCATGTACGCTCTAATTGTACTCGGGAAAATGTTATATTAGATTGAAATTGAATGAATTTATTTTTTTTTTATTGTGAAGTTAATATATTTTTACAATTTTTAGCGATTCAAATTTAATTTATTATATCTCTATAAAAAATGATAAAATAATGAATACAACAAATTTAAGTTATAAAAAATATTAAAATAACAAAATTAATCATTATTTTTTATTTAAAAATTAAACCATAAACAAAAACAAGTATTGAAAATAGAAAGTTAAAAAAATTATATTGAACAAAAAAAAAAGTATTGAAAATAAAATTTAAAAACATATGTATTGAAAATAAAAATTTTAAAAACAATTACACAAATAATTTTTAAAAAAAAAAAAAAAAGAATAAATCATCGCCTTCTCCGTTGAGAAGGACTGCCTTCTCACCGGAGAAGGCAACTGGGCTACCTTCTCCGGCGAGAAGGCAACCCACTGTGTGGGCTGCCTTCTCCGGCGAGAAGGCGACCCACTGGGCTACCTTCTCGCCGGAGAAGGCAGCCCAGTTGCCTTCTCCGGTGAGAAGGCAGTCCTTCTCACCGGAGAAGGCGATGATTTATTCTTTTTTTTTTTTTTTAATGTTTATTGTTAAAAAATAATAAATAATAAATGTTACTTTGACTACATTTATTAATGCTGGCATTTACACCACCTATAAAGCTATTTGACCTACTAAGTAGGTGGTGCAAATAGTAAAGGGTGTTGCTATTTGCACCACCCTTTGGTCAAAAGTAGGTATAAAGTATCTTGAAATTGTAAAAAGGTGAAAATTTTCAATAATTACATAGGTGGTGTAAATAATCAAATGGGGGTTCATTTTGCTATTTGCACCACCTTAATCAAACCTCATTTATGAGGTGTAATTAATAATTTTTTAATTCAAAATTTAATTAAGAGAAAATGGTACTTTTTCCCCCTAAGTTATATACTTATAATACTTTTTACCCCTGAATTATTCATGTTAGCATATTAGCCCCCAATTATTCTAAAAGTGATGATTCTCTACCCCCCCCCCCCTCCCCCATCCCCCTCCATATATTAAATTGACATTTCTACCCTTAAAGTAAACATTTTATTTATTTTTCTTCTCTAACAAATTATTGCGTATACGTAGGGATGACCACGGTTCGATTCTATCTGAACCGAACACTATAACAATCGAATTAAAAGTTTCCGGTTAAGGAAAAATTGTACACTTTTTCACTCTGAGTTATATGATTATAGCATTTTTTTTTTCCTCTCAGTTATTTGTTTATCCACATTTGCTCCTTCAATTATATTAAAAGTGGCAAATTTTCTCCATTTTATGTTAGGTGAACATTTTTACCCTTAAAACTAAATATTTCATTTATTTTGTCTTCTCCAACAAATTATTGTTTATATGTACGAATGATTATGGTTCGCTTCGAACAATTTTTTATTTTATTGCCAATTCAAAATTTATATATTTATTTATTATAAATTCTATTTCTTATTTTTAAAATAATATAAATTCAATAATTATTTTATTTTATTTTATTTCATTTTTTCGGTTCTGAATCGTAAGTATAAGAAAATAAAGTTGTGTTGTGCCTTCACAATTAGTTATATTTGTTCTATATTTTCTTAAACATTTTTAATCCTAAGAACCTAAGCTCCACTCCCAAGGTTTGAACCTATGACCATTTATTTGAAATGGTAATTGAAATGTCATCATATTACATGATTGTTGGCTTAATCATATTATATATAATCTAAAAACATAATAAGTGTCAATACAAATTATATTTTAATTAAATATTTATATGAATGTTAAATTATATATGTGTATCATATATATGAATGTTAAATATTTATATGTGTATCATATATATATGATACACATATATAATTTAACATTCATATAAATATGCATATAATTTATAATTAAATTAATTGTTATATGATAATTTTAATAAAATGATAATTAAAAATAGGAAAAAGATATGATAGATGTAGGTGTATGGTAAGATTGGTAGATATATTAAAAACTAACGGTGTTATAACGGTGTAAGGGTGATTTTGTCCAATGCAAATGAATGTACAACAATTAAAGCAAAATGTATATATTTATTAGCATATAAAAAGGGACAAAAATCAAGGACATAACTTGTATCGACACTTATTATGTTTTTAGATTAGATATATATATATATATATATATATATATATATATATATATATATATATATATATATATATATATATATATATATATATATATATATATAACATGTATGTTGATGGGGATATGGGACCCTAGGGGTCCATTTTATTGGGAAAGTATTGACCCAATTGGGGGTGGTGAAAGAAGGAGGTTGGACCAAGTCTTGTTGGGCTAGGAAGACAAGCACGCATGGTGGGCCGGGGTGAAGAACATGGACCGGAAGGCGGTAGCAAGTAGGTGCGGGAGGTAGGTACGGCGTGAGGGGGGAGGTAGGTACGGCGTGAGGGGGGAGGTAGGTACGGCATGAGGGGGGTAGGTACGGCGTGAGGGGGTAGGTAGGTACAGCTGAGGGGGGGAGGTAGGTGCGGCGTGCATGGTGGAGGATGCGGGAGTCGCGGGGATAGTGGCGACGTGACATGCATGGCGACAAACAAGCGGAGTGGGGGAGGAGCAACGTGGGACACGCGGACGCCAGAGGAGGAGGGGGGCTTGCTATAAATAGGGGCCCTGGATCTTTGGCTAAGGGGCAACTCAGACACGATAAGCACTGCAGTCTAGTGGTTTTGGTCTTGTACTCTCAATCCAGTCACCTGGGTTCGATTCCTACCAGTAGCATAGTTCGCTATAGCCCATCCTGTGGGCCTTGTTCTTTGTAATTGGGCTGCCATTCTAGGCCTGTACCTCGGGCTTTTGTACGCATTGTTCTGGGCCTAGCGCCCTACCCCCCGTCCTATGTTCCTATACCCGGTTTATGGTGGACCCGGTCCCAATAAAACCATCATATGTATATTATTTGTGTATTCATATCAATATATCATATATGTGAGTGTTAGCTTAGTATTATTTGTAAATTATTATTATATAAAAATATAATTTTTTTTTTTGTTTTGATCACTATATTATTCAAATATATGATAATTCAAAAGTATCATCACTTACAAATCTTTTAATATTGGGCATAAGTTTTCGCGCATCGCGCGTACAAAATGCTAGTAATCATATAAAAACCAATTGCTGTTAAATCAAAGTAAATGTAGATTACTAGTATAGTAAATGTAGATTACTAGTATATATGTCCTCTAATGAAGGTGTGCATTCCTCAAAAAGAGAGAAATCAAATATAATCTAAAATATAAAAATCACACTCCAAAATGCTATTGGAACGTAATGGATTGTCATGAAGGTGTGCATTCCTCAAAAAGAGAGAAATCAAATATAATCTAAAATATAAAAATCACACTCCAAAATGCTATTGGAACGTAATGGATTGTCAATTTCAATATGACTGCAAAAGTCTAAGAAATCAATACTTTTTCCCCCTTTTTAACTGGAATGAAGTTCGGAAGAGTAATATATAACACGTGTGATTGCAAATTAAAACAAACTCCCTTTGACTTTGCTTACGATTCAGAACCGAACAAATAAAATATAATAAAATAATTATTAAATATATTTTTAAAAAAAAAAAAAGAAATAAAATTTATAATAAATAAATACATTTTGAACTGACAATAAAATTAAAAAAAAATTGTTAGAATTAAACCGTGACCATCCTTACATATAAACAATAATTTGTTGGAGAAGAAAAAATAAATGAAATATTTAGTTTTAAGGATAAAAATGTCTATCAAACATAAAAGGGAGAAAACATGTCACTTTTAATATAACTAGGAGGCAAATGTGGATACATGAATAATTAAGAGGGAAAAAGTGTTAAAAACATATATCTAAGGGGAAAAGGTGTCATTTATAATAAATATTTGTTAAAAAAAAATAATGTTTTGACTAAAATTAATGAAGGTGGTGCAAATAGCAATTTTCTATTTACACCACCTAAAAGTTATCACACCTATTTAATAAGTGGTGTAAATAACAATTAGGGTGGTGCAAATAGAATTTCCCATAGTAAAATAGGTGGTATAAATAGAATAACCCTTTTACAGCATACTTTACCCATATTTCTTTTAGCATATATATTTGCAAAAAGCTACATATTTGCAGGCTAGGAAAATCTGATCAATCTTCACCGAGCATGTTTTTGGCAGCTTTATCAGCCGCCGGTAAGATGGGGAAGCAGCCATTGCGGCATTACAATGTTGGGCGGCGGCAGCTGAGCATCCTCAATTTCTCGGCCCTCTCCTGCGATCTCATACGTTTCCCTGCATTTTTCATCAAAGATTGTTTCCAGGTTCAGTCTACCCCGATATTTCTTTATTCAAATATCATGTATTATTTCAAATTAGAATATTTGAGTCCTTTTTTTTTTTGTGTGTGTGTGTGAATAATCAATATTAATGTATTATCAAATAACTCATTTTTTCCCATCCAATTTTAACTTATAATTAACTTGAGTAAGTTAAGAAAGTGAGTAGTATCTTAATGTAATTTTTAATATGCTATTTACTTTAAAATATTAGTATTATTGGGCAGAGAAGTACCCGAGGTTGAAGGAATTGACGGGCTGTAATGCAACATAGGAAGACGAGGAGTTGGTGTCTTGTTTCTCCTGTTGCTCCAAGTTAGGCTGTTCAGCCATCTCTTTCTCTCTCTCTTTGATCTGTGTTTGATTTCCATTACAAGCATCAAAGTTTATACTAGTTCAGGTATTGAATCTAGTTTGTAACTATATGTAATAAGAAATTTAATTACAAGCATCAAAGTTTATACTAGTTCAGGTATTGAATCTAGTTTGTAACTATATGTAATTATTGTTTTCATCCTTCAATGCTCTGTCCTGCCAATTATAAATAGTAACTTTTTAATATGCTAGCTTAGCTTTGTCCAAGTTTTGTATTGTGGATGTAGTGAAAGAAGAGTGTCACCTTTTTCTGCAGCTCGGAAATAGACTCCAGCATGAGTTGATTCTGCAAGGGAAGGTTTACAGTTTATATACACATTTAGTTGAACAACTTTTTTGTTTTGGTTCAGGAATGAATTGGAACAGGAATGTTATTCGATATGAAATGGAATAATTAAGCAAAGAATACAATATGAATTGTGTTTGGTTCACTGTTCACATGTATTCCCGTACAAGAATTTATAGATGCAGTGCTAGTAGACTCTAATACCACTTATTAGGATACCACTATGTCAAAAGTTATAGTTACTAGCAAATACGCAACTTTATTTCCTCATAAACTGTCATTACATTTTCGAGTTTTGAGAGGCACGTGTTGGACTTGACCTCACCGGCCTCCGCCCAACAATTTTCAAGCCACCAATTGATGGGCTTGGCGCTTTACAGGCTTCTGTGCAACAATATGTCTATTGCAACCAATCAACTGAATACAACACTACAAATAATCAAGGACTAATGATGCTACAAAGAAGAGATTATTACTAAATAATCTCTGGAAAGCTTAATTTGAACACTTTTATTGAAAAGGAGTGAGAAAGGGAGGTGACCTTTTTCGACCGAATATGTTTAATGGATGAATCGATTTGGTGTTCCAGATTCTGAAGTTCTCTGAAGCTTAAAGAATCTAAATCCTCTCCCATATAATGCCTATACAAATTAAAGCTAGCTCAGCTCTAAAATCAGTGGGATAAGAGAGATAAGACAATGTTGTTAATTTTGGTTGTGTAGTACCTTTTACTTTTCTCTAAAAACTCAATCCTTGCCTTCAACTTTGCATATTCCAGACTCCAATTACACTGCAAAACATTAACACGACCCAATACAAACTAAAATTAATGGATTGCAGTGTAAATTAACGATTGAATATATTTCAGGAGTTCATTTTATATATATACATTCTTGGTCTTTGATCTGAATATAGTAGCAATTTTAAATTTAGTTCATAATTGTTATTTTTGAAAATTTGAGTACTCAACATTCAAAACTATTGCACATTTTGTCCAAAATGCTTACAAATGGAAAGATAAAGTTTGGTGAATTTCAACATTTTGAACTAAATATAGATTAATTTTGAAAGTTGAGCTTGGATTATTAAGTGTATTGAAAATTAGAAGTGAATAGCTAGATTTGAAAATATCATTATATTCATACTATACGATTTGACATACCTGTGATTCTTGATCAGTTGGATTAGGCAAACTCTCCACATACGAGCATCGTTCGTATCTTGCAAGTATTCTTTCCATGCTGAAAAAGAAAAGGGTTTTGTTCCATTGGGATTTTAACAATCTACTCATCAAATGAGAATTGTTTTGTTCTAATACCATGGTTGGATTCAGGACTTAGCTTATTGACTAATGCTTCGGAATGCATGCATGTGTAAACGTTATTAAAAACTCAACTTCTAGATTGGGGTAAAATAAGTACATAAAATATCTTAATGAAATATTTTGACATATCTCTAATCTCTAAAATCTCTAAAATTTAATAAGAGTCAATAATATTAGTCATTAACTAGAATGAAAACTTGTGTCATTTAAATTGTTTGGCCTTTATTTTAACAATAGCTATTAACTAGAATTAAAAATGTTTTAATAATATGAGTGACATTAAATATTTTTCTTTGATGTTCTCTGCGCGTTTATATTTATATCTTCTTACCAAGTTTACCTTCAATATTTTTTCTGTTTGTCATTCTACATAACTATGTAAAATACAAAAACATGCATGCAATTTGTATAAATTAATTTAATTTTTTTTTTGAATGTTGCTGGCTCTATTACATTAATTTAATACTATTTTTAATTAATAAATAGTGTGTATAAATTAATTTAATTTAATACTATTTTTAATTAATAAATAGTGTGTATCTATTTTAATATAATTTTTTTATATGAAAATTTAACATTTATTTTAAAAATTTTTAAATTAAAAAATGTACTACTTTTTTTTTTTTTTTTGTATTATGGTATCGATGTTAAAATCTAATTATAATATAAAAATTATCAAGAAAAACCAATTGCGTTTGTTGAAAAGCTAAATCTGATCTTTTTAAAACACAATACTTACTAAGTCTAATTCATTTTTTTTAAAAAAAAAAATTATGCAAAATATAATAATATTTCTTATCATCAAAAATTAAAATTTCATCTTCTAATATTTATAAAATTTATGTGCTTCTTTATTTATTTCGATCATTTTATTTCACTAACATTTCTTTTATTCATTAGACATTATTCAATCACATATAGTGCACTGTGCATATATTTATAACTAAATATAACTATTGCATATAGACGTTTACAAATATAAATTTCTTACATGAATGTACATTATTCTCTTCAGTTTATTTTACATTAAAATTGTAAAAACTTTCTTTCAATTCATACAATCCATATTACGTATTTCATTATGAATGAAAATATTTTGTACAGTTACAAACCATATGAAGAGTACTATAAAACAATAAATTAAAAAATTTAAAACTGCAGTGTAAAAAATTTGAGAAAATATTTAAAAAATCAATTTAAAATCTAAACAAGTACTCCGTAATTTATTAAACAAGGACAAGGGAAATATTAACAGTTCAGTAAAACCATTGCTTTGAGATAAGAATATAGAGTAGTTAAAAATGTAACATACTCAAAAGTAATAAATATAAATAATCAAATAGTTGAAAAATAGGGGGAAATGAGAGAATAATTCCAAGCACGAATTATTTCCATTTTGGGATAAAAATCCATAGCAGCTCGGAACGTAAGAAAGGTGATTAATGCATACACAATTACATATACACACACACATATATATAGAGTGAGAGAGATTGATCGAAAGAGATAGAGATATAGATACAGATATAGAAACAGAAAGCATTGAGCAGAATCGGTAGGCGTACCGCGAATCAGAAGCGTACTGGAAGAGCTTGCCTTTGGTGGAGAAGACGATGACGCCGACGTCGGCGTCGCACAGAACGGAGATCTCATTGGCCTTCTTCAACAGCCCCGATCGCCGCTTGGAGAACGTTACTTGCCGGTTGATCTTGTTCTCTATCCTCTTCAGCTGCACCTTGCCTCTCCCCATGCCGCCGCCGCCGCCTAGAGGTAGAGAACGCCGCAACCGCGAGGCGGTTTCCGATCTCTTTCGTCTTCTCCCTCGATTTCTCTCTCTGTATCTCCCTATACTACTGAAGACTTGCAGTTATCTGGCGGCATTTGTGGAGAGCAATGGATGGTAGGTTGGGGGTATATAAATGGGAGGGAGACAGGGGTGGAGTGAGGGTTGTTTTGATGGGGGCGATAAGCGGTATTATGAAACCGGAGTGGTTTCGTCTGAAACGCTGTCGAGTTTTGATTGGCCTATCGGCCAAGTCAGGGCATTCAACGGCAAAATTCGGTAATAAATTTATACATTTACGAATTACGATAGTAAATTTTATGAATTAAATTTAACTACATAAAATAATAATTTTAAGTAGCTATAAATTTATTTAAAATTAAAAAAATATTAATATTGATATTATTTAAAATATTTTAATTACAATTTTTTAATAATATATATATTTTCATATTATTGGTTCTTACCATTCTAAATAGAAGGTTACAGATCTATGAACAAGTGTGCTCCCGCTATAGTTAGAGTAGCTTCTTCGCAACCTGGTCCTTCTGTTTGGGTTTCATTTATTCCGCCTTGTATTGAACATTTAATTTAATAAAAGCTTTTTTTTCCTTTCAAAAAAAAAAAAAAAGGTTAGAACTCCGTGATGAAGGCATTGATTCTTTAGATTAAAAAAAATTGAAAAGATAGAGAATAGATATTATCTTCAGTATATGGTAAAAAATCATAAGTGTTTTAAAAATATATATTTTTTAAAAATTATTTGTATTTAAAAAAAGTAAGAAATAAATTTTTATATCAGAATCCAAATCTATTTAGATAGTATGAGAAGAATGCTGGAACCACAAATAATTCATAAAAAAACTATAATGATGCTTGAGTGTTCATAAATACTCATAAATTTTTACTGGGATTCGGCTGCGTCATCACTCATCACTGGGGCCCATAATAGAAAAGTCTATGCAAAGTCACAAAAGCCAATGGTCCAGGTGTATATTTCCGATACGCTGATGTTTGGGCAATTGTGGCATAAAATATCTTTCTAAGAATATTTACATAATGAGTAATCTTTTACAACCTCAATCAAGTTTTTGACTTATAACCGCAAAGTTATAAATTTAACTCCCTTTTTAGTTTGATTAGTTATAGGCAAAACTATTGTATATCTACATTTGATTACAAGAGTTTCAAATCTGTAATCATGAGATCACTATAAATAAATATTAAGCGTACAATTTTTCTAATATTAGTTTGTTTTTGAAGAAACTTATTTTTGTACATGGAGAATTATGTGATTTTATCAAAGTACTATTCATCAACGACAAATGTTATATACAAAGAAATATTTAATAATTGTCAACTATAATTAGTAAATTTTAGTTTTTCGATTGAGCTATTCTGTAATATATTTATAAGATACAGTTTAATGAGTTTGTAATAGATAACATGAATCTATGTATGTTTATATTAATTGGCATATGAATCTATGTATATTTATTCTATGCATTGTACAAGTAACATACTAGTAAATGTTTAAATTTCAAAAATCTTGAATTTGAGTCTTAAGAATATAATTATTTACGCGAATAAGATTAATATTAATTTTGCGATTCTAATTAATGGTAAAAAAAAAAAAAAAAAATGTATGCTCACACCAGAACATGATAAATACATACCAGATATGTGAGATAACAAACAAAACACTAGAAAGTGTAGGAGATTATGGAGGAGACGAAGCATTCCAACGTGGCAGTGAAAAATCTCCCTTCCATGAGGCAAAACTTTCTTTGCCACAAAAGAACAATACGGCGGCTAATTTTATAATTGCCTTTTGTCCAAAATGGATAATTTCGTTCTGGAGGCCATCATAACTTCCGTGTCGACTTCCACAATTTTGATGACACAATTGTTAAAAAGAATAAACGGAAAACGAGGTTTTTGCCCCTGAATCGGTTTATTTTTTAAAAATTTAATCTGTGTAAATTGATTTAAACAAATTGAGTTCTTCCATTGTTTATAATGTGATACATTTAGTCCCTAGAATTATAATTACAAACTTAATTAATACGTCATTTTTTCATTGAGTTATATTTGTCAATTACCTTACATATCAATTTTTTTTTCTCTCCCGCCATTTTCATTGTATAAAGTCGCATTAACGCTAATAATATTTCATCCGCCGATGAAGAACTGGGTACACCCAAGTTCCCCACGAGATTTGATAAAAAAATTCTAATCAAATACCAAAGACAAAAGAAATATATATATATATATATATATATATATATATATATATATATATATATATATCTCTACAAATACAATACAAATCTAATAAGAGCGAATAATGTTAGGCCCTTAACTAGAAAAAAAAAATGTTAGTACTAATTGTTTCTTAAAATGAATGGTTCATATTATTTTGATTTTAGTATCTTTTAATGATTTTCCTTATTTACCCTTTATTTTATTATTTTCTTCCCTTAAATAACCCTAAATTCCGTTAGTTTAAACTTTAGTAACGGAATATTCCGTTAACTATTTATTATTCTTAACATACTCTTAATTTATATAAGGTCTTAGGTTCGAACCTCATCCCAAGTATAATTGACATAATTGTTAAACATATATTATGAATATGTTAAAATGTATTAAAAAATATATAATATAAAATTTAACAAAAACTTTGTTCAAATAATTAGCTCGACTAAATACATAGCATTCAAAGTTGAGCATCAAATATTATAAATCAGGAACTACTTTAAAATTATTTGATTTTCTTGAATTTTTTTATTAAAAAAAAAACAAATTTATGTTAAGTTTTTTTTTTTTTTTTTAAATTAATCTTCTTCTGATTATTTAGAACAAAACTTAATATTTCAATTATGCTTTTGCATTATTGGAATGATTTAGGCCATTATGGTATTAATTTTTTTTGTATTTTTTTTAAAATGGTACAATTGTACATTACATTACTAATATTATACTATTATTTTTTTATCAGACAAAATTGTTCTTACATCATTGTCAGACCTACGCGGCCTAACTACAAAGTTGTTGATCATAAATACAATTACACATGGACTCTAAAACGGTAGGATCATTTTTCAAATAATTAACAATGTTAACATCCTACTAGCTCCAATTGAACAAGTTTACACATCAAAATTTTATCAATGCATGAAAACTTCTTAAAAAATTTGTAAGTTAATTTTTACTATATCATTATATTAATATCTATTGTAACCATATATTTTGAATTATTTATTATCATCCTCTATTAACAGCAATTGTAGCAATTGTTATGGACAAACTCACAAAACAATTTGTCTCAATAAGGAATGGAAATTAAAAAAAAAAAAAATCATTGATTTCATTATTGTTGAAGAAAAGTATGTGCGACACTTTATTACTCTTATTAATTAAATAAATTAGTAGCTACAACCAAAAATAATACATATGCATTTAATTAATTTAGAATTAGATGTCTATAATGCTTTATTTAAAAAAAAAAATATTCATTATAAAAAAATTTAAAAGAAATATAATTTCATTAGTTATATTATCTTTATTTTCTACCATTCAAAGATTCCTTACCTTCAAATTTATTAATTTATTATATTCACTACATTGTTCATTGTCTTCTTTTTTACATTATCTTGTAATTAAATATCAAAGTTATAATACAAAACATGTTTTATATATATATATATATATATATATATATATATATATATATATATATATATATTTGTTTGTTTATTTATTTATTTATTTACCAAGTATTTTATACAAATATATTAAATATTAATATTTTGTTCAATACTTTCACATGATAACCTGCGACACACATCTCACAACACATGAAACATGTAGGAAAAAAACTACCACTACTAAATATCAATAGGTGTTTGTACGCTAAAGAGTTCATATTACAACTAAAATCTCAGTCATATACACAGCAAGATAAATCTAAAACTTCCTACACCATAATCTCATTGCATGATGAATCCCTCTATGCTGCTACCAGTAACCTAATTGCACATGAAACACTACCAATAAAAAAAAAAAAAAAAAAAAAAAAAGGACATGTACTGAAGATGAAAACAATAACAATGCTACCCAAAAAAGAATTAAGAAGAATTAGAGAAAATTAAACCAAAAGTAGTATTTATTTAGACTATCGCTTTAAAACTAACTATTTAGACTAGCGTTATTAGAAAGTTGCAAACATTTATTTTAGTGACAATTATAATCAATCTCTCATATATTATCTTGCATTTATATACTTTAAATTACCGATTTAAATAAACAAATTCAACATTTATTTACATACGCATGAACATCTCCTATATAACATTGCATTGATATACTTTGGAATACTTTGATATGGATAAAATAACCGTGTATTGATACGGGTAGGTTACAATAGAGTTACAGACAGACCGGTCGTACGCGATGACCGGGATCCTCTCTAATCTAGTGAGTAGCCTAATCCAAAAGTCCCTCTCTCTAGCATTTAATGCAGTATTTATAAGGGTCATGAAATGAAGCATCCGGCCTTCCGGCATGTCGGACACGTGGTGAGCATGCACTGGGCTCTGGGGAGGCGAGCATGCAGCCGTACGCGTGGCAAGCATCTCCTGCCGTTGGCACGGCCCATCCCGTCCCGGCCGTCTCGCCCGTTCACCGGCTAGCCACTGGTGGGGCCTTAGATCGCTCCAAACCGAGAGGCGGACCGGGCAACCGGGCAGGGAACCGCATCGAGCTCGTCCGGGCAGGACGGGCGGACCGTATGCCCGGGGTATATTCCCTATCATATAGTCCCCCCAGCCCGGAGCCCGACGGTACCAGACGGAGGGGTGCGGGCTGACTCCTAGCTCCGCCGGTCTACGCCTTGATGGGTCACGTGGGGTAGGCTGAGGCTGGGACACGTGTAGGGCGCCGCCTGCCACGTGTCGGCTGTCCGCAGGTCTCGTGATCTGGGCCTGGCGTGCCTTCGACGCTTCCTCTTCCCGCCTTTTTCCTCTCTTATAAAATGGGGCTTAGGGGCCCATTGTGAACTTTTCGCTTCCTCAAAGAACTTCAGAGCCTCCCGGTTGTCTCAGCTTCTGCATCGAAAACTTCAAGCGG